ACTTCAGTGAATATCAGTAATTAGATTTTAACAAGGACAACATTCAAAAAGGTGACCACTGACATTTGGAGGGAGCACACTGTAAGGGTTCATGCAAATGGGATTGGATCAAGAATGTCCTCTTGGCTAGAGGAAGGCATTTTCTAAAGACGGTGGTTTTGAATCTGCAGTCAAGAAGTAATGGGCAAATGTTGCGGCAATGAAAATATACTTGACTGGATACTAGCACGCTTGTGCAGAGGCATGGTAAAAATTAAAGCAAGTTAGTTGTGGGAACATGAAGAAACTTTCATTCCCAAGTATTTTAATCTGTTTGACAAGCCAGGAGAGTTTTTAGTATAGGATGGTGTTACTGTCCTCTTGTGTTTCTAAAATATGTGTGTGGGACAAGGGTCTGGGCCTGCAGATTACAGGCCTCCAAGGGAGTCCTCAATGGCATGGCATGCACTCCCCAATTACAGAGTGGACCGTACATCTGTGCCGACTCTGTTTCATAAAAGTTTCAGTCAAATTCAGCATAGAATTTCACCTTGCCAAACTCTGAAATGAGTGCCACTCCTCAGAATAGGTTAGTCAGTTGGTGAGGACGTTATGAACTAAGACTATAACAAGGTTTAGAAATTATAAGGAATCCAGTGTGGTGGCATTCTTGTAATCCTAGTTTCTTGGGAGGCTGAGGGAGGCGGATCATAAGTTCAAAGCCAGCCTTAGTAACCTTCAGAGACATGGACTCCATGTACAAAAGCATTTTTGGAGATGGGGCTGGAACTAGAACTCAGCTTTAAGTGTTTCCCAGAAGATCTGAGAACCTGTATCCATCCCATGACAGTCAAAAGAGAAAAAATAATTAAATGAATAGAAACACACAAAAAGGTAAATGTCTCTATGTCCTTATTCAAACCCCTTAGAATTTTTAAAACACGGACCTGGAGAAATGCTTACCTACCATCCAAGTGAAGGCTTCTATGGACAGGGATAAAATGAAAAGGCAAAACAGGAAAAACTGAAGGCAATTATGAGACAGGGGGATTAAATACAGAGAACAAATAAACACATCGGGAATATTCAACTAAAGAAATAAAGGTCAGGGATGTAGCTCAGTAGTAGATCTCTTGCCTAGAGAGTGACTGAAATTGCAGGTTTTACCTTATGGGATTGTTAAAAGTCAAGAAGCACCAGCAGTGTCATGCTTGCTGCTGGGGGAGGTGGAAACTAGAGATACGTGCTGATGGGGACAATGCATGGTGGGCCCACATTACAAAGTAAGCTATTAACTGTCAAAAAACAAAACCAAAAAAACAAAACAAAACAAAAAAAAACAAAAACAAAAACAAAAAAATAACAAAAAAAAAAACAAAACAAAAAAATCAAAAAAACAAAAACAAAACAAAACAAAACAAAAAAAAAAAAAAACCATGCACTAGCCAGGTACTGTGAAAGAATCTAACCCAATAGCTCTGCCTGAAGTCATCCTTAAAAATAGCAGCATTATTTGTAATAGCAAGAACCTTGAAGCAACCTAGATGCCCCTCAACTGAAGAATGAATAAAGAAGATGAGGCACATCTACACAGTGGAATACTACTCTGCAGGAAAAAAAAATATAATGGAACCTTGAAATTCGCAGGCAAGTGGGTGGCACTTGAAGAAACCATCCTGAATGAGGTAACCCAGTCACAAAAAGAGGAACATGCTATGGTACTCGCTCATATATGGATTTTAGACCTAGAGCAAAGGATCGCCAGCCTATAATTCACACCATCAGGGGAACTAGGATACAAGGTGTATTCTAAGAAATTCATATAAAGTCCCTCACAGAAGGGGGAAGGGACAAGTCCCCCAGAGCACAGGGGAAGTGGGGGGGCAGTGAATGGAGAGAGAAGTAGGAGAAAGAGAAGGGGAGGAGAGGAAAACACATGCGACTAGGAAGATTGAGCCCAGTTAGGAATAGAAGACAGAAGACACACACACACACACACACACACACACACACACACACACACGGAGAGAGATAATATAAAAGAAGCAGCCATTATTGGTTTGAAGAGAAAATTGAACCTAAAGAAAGGTCTAGAGACCTACAAGACTGCTGCCAACTAACAATTTGAGCAACCGTGGAAAGGCTACCATAAATGCCCTTCCTGGATAGTGAGATCAACAACTACCTTATCCACCATCATGTAGCCCTCATCTAGTACCTGTTGGAAACAGAAGCAAATATCCATAACTAAACACTGAGTCGAACTAGAATCCAGATGCAGATGGAGAGGACAAGACCAGGTTGCAGAAACACATAGAGACAGCTGACATGAACAAGGAGGAGCTAACGGGCCCCCAGACTGATAGCTGGGAATCCAGCATGGGACTGACTCAGCCCCCCCCTGAATATGGGTCTCAGCCAGAAGGACTGAGCAGTCTAAGAGACCTCAGACAGTGGAGCCAGGATGTATCCCTGGTGCACAAAGGGACCTTGAGAACACATCCCCCATGGAGGGATACTGCCTTAACCTAGAGACAGGAGAGAAGTCATAGTCCCTACTTCAAATGACTTGACAGATCTACATGACCCCACCTGGATGGCTTTGCCCTACATGTGGAATTGGGATGGGGGGATGGGAGGGAATGGTGGTCATGGTGCATGTGAAGGGACAGAGAGGGTAAAACGGAGGGAGGGAAGCAGAGGGAACAGGGATTTACATGTAAAATACCAAATTAAATTTAAAAATTTAAATTAAAAAAAATACTGTTTGTAGCTTTTGCAGAAGTGGAAATCACCTAACTCAGTAACATTCGGGAACTTCTATTTATAAACCAGTGTTCATGTATATGTATTTGGTGAGACATTGGGAAGAATTTGAATTGTGTTTACACATATTTTTGTGTCGTCTGTGACAATGTTGATGCAATGTTGACAATGTGATATGTGCATTTGATCAGGTCTTTCAAAGCAAACTACACAGACACACCAGAAACAACAGAGGGAGTGTCATGCAGCTAGTCCTTAAAAGCCGAGTCTAGGAAACGGTTTGTTTTCTTTTTATATAATTCAGGCTGGAAGTGTGGGTGACACTAATGTAGGCAGTCAGGACCTAAAAGGTCGGGACTTCTCTTCACATACAACAGTAAGCATGTGAGTGAGTGATCCTGCTGTAGGAGACATGCATGCGGGGACAATCATATAGGAGCATGAAGCAAGGCATTTACAGGGAGGGTGTGGGAAGTAGGAACCTGCCGGCCTTGAAGTAACAGTAATAGGCAAGTCAAGGTTCCCTGAAGCTTAGGTTATAAGCCACAGCCTTTAAAACTGAGACTTTCAACAGTAAAAAAGTTCTCAGTGGCCAATATTGGCTGTGCAATGGATCTGTGGTGGATTTGTTATTGTCGTCATTTTTGTTTTGTTTTGTCTGCAGTGCTCAGCCGTATTGCATTGCAGAGATTCACTGTGGCCTTAGTTCTGCACACATGTGACTTTGCACTGTGCATGCCTGTCAAACCACACAATGCCAACTGAATGCTGCCTAGACCACTTTGGCTCAGATTCACGACTATGCATGTTAGGAACGTCAGTGTTTTGATTACCCATAGTCAGTGTCCTAGTGTTTTCAAAGCGTAATGGCTTAATTATGCAAAACAAAAGGTTTTTGTAGCATTATTCCTCAGGTGTGTCAAACTGATACATCTTTGGATGGTATTGCTTTGGAATGTTTGAATGTTGGGTTTTTTTTTTTAAATCGCTGTTTGAGTTTCATAAAAATCATTTGAGTTTGCTTGAGCTTAGGATGGAATTCCTAACTTTCTGAGATGGCCCTAAATATGCTTCTGATATTTTATATGTATGTATATGACGTGTCATTTGGAACACTGAAGAGAAGACATTGCTTAACTCTGAACCCTCCCTCACCCTTCCCCAATATTCTCTTTGCCTTGCCACATCAATATCCATCCAGAATTCAGTCCTTTATGTAACAATAAACAGGTGTCTTCAACTCCCTGGTGTGCCAACATGTTTCCCCCTTCAATAAATGGTAAAACTACACACATCAAAGATATCCTCTAAACTGGATTTCTTAGTGGCTTGTGATAAGCAAACAATGGTTATATACCTGTATACTTGAAAGCAGACTACCATTTCTCAGATGAGAAGAGGTGATGTGAGAAAGTCTGAGAAGCTCTGGTTAGACTATTTTGGGAAGAGACTTTGGCAGAGGAGGGGTCAAGAAGTAGATGGTTAGAAAGTCCCTTTGGACTTTCACTCTTGCCAGGGAGCTGCAACAATTGTAACAGTTAACAACTGGTGGAGAAAGTGTAGGTTATATACTTGCCTTATTCTGAGAAAAGCTACAAAACAGGGTGAACAAATGCCATACTAATGTGGCGTCCCAAGGCTCTGCTGTTGCACCCGGGGTGGCAGTAGTGATTAGAGCCCAGGATACAAATCCCCAGATGATTACTGGAATTGCATGCTAGAAAGTGCTTCGCTAAGGTTCTCTTTCCTGCTGTTGCTGTGGCCTGCAGGTCATCCTAGTGTGCATTATAGCCCTCTCTCTCTGGGACTGCATTTGCTTCCCACCCGCCAGCTCCATGTGTTATTGGACTCTCCTCCATCCTGTAATCCAGAGCCCGTGGCCCCAATGCTCTGGCTGGGTAGACAACACATCTTGTTACAACAGTTTTGCCTACTAAAGTCTTGTGCCAAAGTTTCTTTCTCTTCCAAGGATAAAAAGTCATCAGCAAAAAACTGAACAGAACATGTGTGCTGTTATTCTGTCCTCCGATCATAAAGCCTCCTCGGAAGCAGCTCTCAGCTGAGCATTTGGCCTGAGAACAATGTCCTCATTATTCATTATCTTGTGAACACCCTCTATAAATATCATTCCAAACTGCATGGTAGTGGGTGGCTTCCCAGTTCATGGAGTCTCCAGGTGCATACTCTCGACCTTTGGAGGTGGGAGCAGACTGCCTGTCGTGGCTCTTCACTGTGTCCTTGTGTGTTTACTGTAGGTGCCTACCCTCGACTTTCATTGAGTTTTCGGTTGAAGAGAAACATTGGTTACTTCATTCTTCAGACGTATATGCCCTCAATACTGATCACAATCCTCTCGTGGGTGTCCTTCTGGATCAATTATGATGCATCTGCTGCTCGAGTTGCTCTTGGTATGTGCTTCTATTAAGTCCTATCTAAAGTGTGAAGTGATCGCATCATTATGGTATTAAGGGAATTTAAAGGCCAGGGTGCAACTACAATTTCTGCACATCATGACACCAGCTTCACCCACATAGTCACTTTTTATCTTGAGACAGTAATTTTACGCATGAGTCCCTTGATGTGTTAATTTAATTATAAGACCCAAATGTGAATTTCCATGCCCATGAAAGGAAAAAACAATTTTTGGGGATATTTGCATCATATAACTGTTTTTGACACTTCATTTTAAAGTAAGGATTAATACTGCCTGGTCAAGATGATTCTACAGACAGAAACATTTGATAAATTTGAGCTTTCTTCTCTTTCAAGTCATGGGGAAAAAATCATCAAATACTATAGCACATAATTGAAATTACACGATATAATGAGCATTAAAATAAGCAACTAATTGTGAGTAATTCCCAAGAACCCCAGTGAAGTTTGCTGCCCATTCGTTATTTAATAATGGGATTATTAATTAATACACAATACGTCTTATATGTTCTGACTTTATTTTCAGGATTTGCCTTTTAAAGGAAAGCTTATATTTTCAGGAGCACTAGTCTCTGCTCAACCAATTATGAAACTTCATGGACAAAGTTATCCCATAAACACATCAGTGGATGAGGTGATGAGCCCTGCTCAAGGCCAGTCTTTCTCTGGGTTCAACAGAGTTTATGGAGATAGGTCTAACAACGGAGCTTTCAAATGTTGCAGGGAAAGAACTAGCATGACCTTTGCTGGCTGGCAAAGCACCTAACACAAAGGTGTAGTCTGGGTTCCGGCTCTCCCTCTCGCCTTCTCAGCCTTCTTTGCCAGCTTTTGCCATTTTGTTTTCCAAGACAGTGTGCATGTGTGAATGCTTGTGCTTGTGAACAGCTATGTAACTTGCATCAGTGTCTTCTGGGATAGACTTTTTTCATAGCAGAGTTGCTGAAGTTGTCCCATGTATGAAGTAACACTCTGGAAAGACTCGAGTACCTGAGGTCTAGGACGTCTAAATTAGAATTGCTAACTTACGGGAAAGGGTTGTTTGTTTGTGTTTTGCATCTGCACAATTAAGACTGAATTTGTAGGGACATATCCAAAGGTTGCAGTTGTTAGTTTATACAGGTGGAGGCTTTCTCTTTATGAGGAAATATAAACAAATGAAAAATTCCTGGGACCCCCGCTCAAAGCCGGGAAAAGGGGCCCATTCCCCTGCTGCTGAGCAGTTGTTGCAGGCATTAGAAAGAACCAAAGAGGTGTAATGAACTGGTGTTGCAAGGGATGAAACACACAGCAGATGCGACCCTCTGAGCTCTGCCTGCTACTACACACTGCAGACCTGCTTACTTGTCAAATGTCACCATAATGGGAAACATGAGGTCCATCAGAAATGGATGAGAGCAATCCAACTTTCTCATGGTGAAGGAGCTTGCTCCATGTTTTCCTGATACCATGATGACCCTGTCTTAGGGAATGCACTAGGGTGGTACTCCACAGGCTCTGCCTCTGGAGGGGCTGTGAAGTAACAACAGCATTGGAGGCTCAAGAGGCAGGTACCAGGACTCAAACAGAAGACCAAAGACAACTGTGATCCTAGGGCCAGTGGCGGCTGTCCAAGTTAGAACCTAGCAGGTTGTTGGCAACACTACCCTCAGAGGTGATTATGAGGTTTGAGGAGGGGATCCTGTTTATTTTTCAAAGGATAGTTATTATAATACTTTGCCGTACCATTTGACTTCCTGAATTGCCGTCATCTTTCCCGCTCATATGCACAGCCCATATGATGCTGATCCCCATTATAGGCCACCAAGGGGACACCTTCTCCTCATTGCTGCGTGGGTAGTAGATGCTGGCGATTGCCTCTCGGAGTGGGACACACAGTAGTGGTGACACATGGCAAATTTCTTGAAGAATGGCGAGAAAGTCTATCTAATTTTGTAGCTCTCGAGTGGTGTTTTCACATTTATTTGTAAACTGTAATTATCCCATTGCCACATTCAAATTTTTAAAAGTCCCCAGGTGCACATGAATGTAATGTTAAAGGGAGTCTTAAAATATTCTGGCATCTGAGATTTCTAAACATCTCACAAGCAACTGGGGTTTGCAATTATGTATTAAAAATAGTGTCTTGGTTCTTTGGGGTTCTGTGTTGTTAGCAGTCTCTTAGGGTCAGGGTCAGGGGAGGGTGCTAAAGAAGCCTTACCTTGTTTCTCTGCTGCTTTTCCACTATGGAACACTGAGCTCTAGAGCCCCAGGCCAGCTCCGGGAAATACAGGATGAACATACATGCTTCTGGAAGCAGATGTGTGTCCAGGGGGCTGCCAACCAATAAAATAAACAGAAGCCCTTCCCTACAGTCCTGGCTCTACCTCAGAAAATCCACAATGCCTGCCCGTGCTGCCTCTTTGCTTCAGTCACTCCACTGATGTGTGTGGGGGTGTGCGTGCATGTGTGCGGATGTGTTTGTGTGTCTGTCAGTCTCTCCCATTTGAGCATCTTCTCAGGGGAGTAGATCCTTACTTGAGAATGGAGAGCGAGAGTTCAACCCACACTCAGGGATGTTGGTGCAATATTGGAAAAGGCTGCCCTGAAGTTGGGCCTTCAAGCATCTATCTTCCTTTTGCAACATAATGGGTCCCAAGGCAGGTTTGAAGCTTGTTCTTGCTCAGAGATTAGTGACCCACTCGAAGCAACTTCCCTGTCTTCAACAAGACCTAGTCTGCTCAGCATGTCATGTGATGACTGTGGCCTCAGCTCACTTAATTTGTCATCTCTGTATAGAAGGTACCGTGTCTTCTACTGTGGTTGGGACAGTTACAAAACATGCTGCTTATTTTGTCTTAAGGACTACAACCAACTGCTGGACTCAGACACAAATCCTCTGCACAGAACTCTGTAAAGAACTCAGGAGAGTGCTTACAGAGGGATTTTCTCAGTGTTGAAACCAGAGACTCCAACAGGAGCAGAATCCTCACACCTCCCTCTGAGCTAATCTTCCGCACCCAGCTTGTGGACACTCATTTCCACTTAAGGGAAATAGTTTCAGAGTGAATCTTCCCACTGGGCTTTGCTCTATCAGTGCTCCCTCTTTGAGCCTCACTCACTCAACCGGATTTCCCCCTATTCAGTAAAAACTCCTCAGACTCTGTTTCCAGAAAGCCCTGGAATAAGAAAGGTAGCCACTTTAACTTCCCTGGTGGCCAGGTCCCTGTGGCCATGATCCACCGTCCTTTTCCTGATGTATTATAACCAGGCACTCAGTTCTTTTGTTACATTCTGGGGCTATCTGTGTTTGTCCTAAAAACTCAAGGGAGAGCAAGCATTCTTTTGGGATGGCAGGGACATCTTGCCTTCGACTCTCTCCAGACACCTGTCACTGTGTTTGAGGAGTGGCTAGGTGAGGCCTCCCCAGGTTTGCTTCCCAAGTGGAGACGCCTGCTTGCTGATCCAAAGTGTGGTGTGTTGCCAACAAGACACACAGCTTGTTTTGGTGACCGACCGTCAGCCCAGGGTGTTAGAAGGCATTGCAGTGGGAGGGCTGGAATCCAGGAGGGAGTACCAATACTGTGTTTGTTTCCTAGGGATCACCACCGTGCTCACCATGACAACGATCAACACTCACCTTCGGGAGACTCTGCCCAAAATCCCCTATGTCAAAGCCATCGACATGTACCTGATGGGTTGCTTCGTCTTTGTGTTCCTGGCCCTTCTGGAGTATGCCTTCGTCAACTACATTTTCTTCGGGAGAGGTCCCCAAAGGCAGAAGAAGCTTGCAGAGAAGACGGCGAAAGCCAAGAATGACCGTTCAAAGAGCGAAAGCAACCGGGTAGGCTCTCCATGGCCTGGCCTGGGCACACCAGCCCTGCCAGTACCTAACCTTTCCAGTTCACCTGCAGCTAGCTGAGCAGGCAGCAATGCCTACCATGCTGGTGGAACATCCCTAGGTTAAACCTCCAAGGTTCCTACCTAACCACCAGCATTGGATCAGGTGCTGGAGCAGCCCAACCTCCCTTCCTACCCTTCCTTTAAAAGGAACAGATTAGACTCAGGAGTGCTCTCTCAATACTCTGGAATGTGGGGCTCTTCTTGTGTGACATTCTTATGAGTAGGTTTTTCCTGCCGGCCTGGACCCACTACCGCACCAGCCCCAAATAATACACTGAGACTCTGTATTTGATATAATTCTGTTGGCAAGTTACTAGTTACTTATTGGCTAGCTCTGTCTTAATTATTAACCCATTTCTATTAATCTAAGTGTTTCCACGTGATCTCATCTTACTGGAGAGAGGGGCTGGGGTTCTGCTCTCTCCAGTCTCTCCATGCTGACTCCTCCTTCCTACTTCCTCTCTCCTCCTTGTCTCCTAGTCCCTCCTATCTTCCTTTCCTATTGGCCAATAGTGCTTTATTCATTAACCAATATGAGAAACATATTTACAGAATGACATCTCCCATCATGACAGACACAGAGAAAGTCATTTTCCAAAAGAGCTCCAAATTCCTTTGGTTGTAAGATTACCAGGTCACTCACTCAACCTGCCCCCATGGTGGGCAGTGCAATAAGCAGTCACCTCACTGGCCCATCCTTCCTGTCACTCATAGTCACATGAGGAGAACATCAAGCATGGAGGCCCAGGCAACACAGGCTCAGGAGGTCGGCAGAGCTGCTAGCTCTGGTTCAGAGGTAGCGCAGCTTCACACTCCACCCGAGACCCATAGCCCAGTTCAGGAATGCTCACCAGCCAATCACAAAGGGACTCGGCATTGGATGCATGCACTCACAGAAGCATTGTTATTAAAGTGAGATTCTAATGAAATGTTACAGCTTCGGTTTTTATGAATGTCCCCTTCTTACATCTCACATCTCCTCGCATCCTCAAGAATATATCTCTACCAAGTCAAAGACCACTTACTCCTTCGTTCCTTTCTTTTCGTTGTGCTGTTTAATCCATCTTTTGAAATCTATGTATTTTTCAAGTCGTTGGAGGGTTCCTTTCATTTTCCCAGTCACTTGTATCACCATGGATCCCTAATGCTACCTGCATGGGGTGGCAAATATGCATGAATGGGTGGAGTCCTGACAGTGAGTGACAGTGGCCCCTTCCCATCTGTAAAGCATAAATGAAGTTGGTCTCTGAATAGAACTAGGTTTTCCACAGACAAAATTATCTTCAACATCTTACTTGAAAATCTACTCTGTTCCAGACTGTTACGTTTCTATGGAGATCACGCTGTACTATGAATACACAATATGTCTTGGCCTTGGTGTTTCCAAGGAAACAAGAATTAATCACACCATGTTGTCTCTGTGGCCAAGCACATGTACAAATTCATACAGGAGCGGTGTCCTTTCCCATTTCCTTCTGTATTTAGCAATCGAAGCTTTCTTTCTTTTTCTCCAATGAGACTGTTGTTTAAAACTGTCAAACCATCATTGTTCAAAAACATCTTTCTGAGTGTGAAGTACAAAATTTAGAGAAAAGACTCAATCCTGTAACATTCACAAATAAAATTATCCGAACAGAGAAAGACTATCAATTATAGGCAGAGGAAATCCTAAATTGACTCATGGGTCCATTTTCAGTTTTTCCCTAAAGCATGTTTCTCTTCTCTGAGCAGTTTCAATGAGGCCTCTATATATCATAGTTTTCAAAATACATGATTCGCATTCCATCCTTAGATTTGGAAGCCAGTAAGTATATAAACATCAGGTGTTCTCATTTTAGACATCTGTTTGATGCTTTCCCAGTTAAGCATTGAAAATCATTCCTCCCTCACTTAAGAGTTTAAGAAGTAGACTCTCCCAAAAGTTTGGATAAAGGGATGTAGGGTGAATATGTGAAATATAAGAGCCACTGGTTTCATAGAAGATGGACAAGGCTCGGCATGAGGGGGAGCAGTGTGACCGTCCATCCAAATAGCCCCCTTTTAGTTTCTGTGGTGACACTCGGCTCTGGCTTACTAGTGTGGCCAGTTGCAGTTGTCATTTATGGCAGGGAGCCTGCTTCTTCCTGTCTTTCCCATAGATCAAACAGCCTTCCCCATAGCTAGGTCATGGGCAGAGTACCCTGGAAGCATTGCAGGCCATTGCTGCCAACAATTGCTAAAGGGCTATTATTGGCCTTGCTGTAAAACCCATAGTAGGTGTTTCATGTACTTAGTGGTGCCACCGTATTGTAAATGTTCCAAATGGTTCTGTATTCCTTTAGTTTCTCCACTTGAGGCAGTATAAGCTTTTGCATACTGCCTGGTTGTTCCAGACTTGTCTCTGCATCCTAGAGCAAGTCTTCGGATATAACGTACACATTACATCTGCACAGCTTGTGACATCTGGGGAGTTGACCAGTCAGCACTGTTTTAATGTCATGACACAAAACACCCCTGTGTCGGGTGGGGGGGTTGCCATCAGTTGAACCTATGCCCCCTGTGTGTTAGGCAGAGCTATAATTCTTGTCAAGAAATCAGATTCATAGACTCAATCTTACCTTCACTAAGAAGGAAGATCTTGTGCCGCCCTCAAATGGCAAATCTTGTTCTTTTAAAACTAGAAATTTTTACTTCACTGGAATCTGGAAGTTAAGTAAAGATTGACTGAATGTCAGTCTAGTGACATAGTCTGGAAAAGAAAAGCTCTCCTGTGATATTTTCTGCATGAGATGCTTTTAATTTTGGAGAGCTGCACCTGTCCAGGTTCAGAGCGGAAGAAAAACCTGCATTGACATCATTGGCTCTAATTATAGTCACTGTAAGCTGGACCCTTCAAAATAACAAGACTTCACGAGACAATTTAAACACTGCAAGCCACCTGACATTCTGAAAAAGGAACGTCAGCCTTGGACTTCCCACAGGCATTTATTTCTATTTTGAGACCTGCATTCTAGACGATAGGGAGAAGAGGAAGTGGTCACCTTCTCTTTTAGGAATACTGATTTAAAAATTGACATCTTTAAATTTTTAATACCCTTTCAGCATTTCAGACAAAAAAAAAATCCAGCAATTTTATTTGTGATAGTGGTTTCATTGCAGGGCTTCAACCTCTCTGAAGCAGAATCACATACAATTAGATGGATTCTTGAGTCCTGTCTCAGGAGAATTCCAAGATAGCCACAGACTCGTTCTCAACATTCAGAGAAGCCAATTGGTCAAGTTTTATTCTTTAATTTGCCAACTACTAAAAAAGTTCCTAAGGTAGCATGGTCCCCCCCATACTAGGCTTCCTTCATCGAAGTCGACAGAAACAGATGATCACTTCTCATTAGATCACTTCCCAAACACACACGCGTGGCCACAGGCACACAGCTCTGCCTCTATCGCCAGAACATCTGCCTGACGTCCTCTATCTTTAGTCTCCCTGTATGGTTTCTGAGTTGCCACCTCTGCTTTTCCTTTATTCTGTTAGCTCTCCTCTTGATTGGCGTCTTCCCTTCTTCAAGTCTCGGGTCAGATGTCCCTCTCCACAGAACCATTCTCATTTCTTCCCTGGCAGTGTTAGCACCTTGCTTCAGTCACTCTCTGTCCCAAGCCACTGTTGACGTTGCTGTTCTCTCAGCTTCCGGCACATTCTCTGCACATGGGAAATGGTAGATCACTTGAATCTTCTCCCCTACCAGGCTGTACCACCCCACCACACAAGTGTTCATCTGGAGCCCTTAGATTCCCATTTAAAAAAAAAAAAGTGAACTTTTCCATAATATCTCTTGATAACTAGAAATGTGTTTAAAAGTCTTTTGTAAAATGTATTGGTCGATTGTTGGAAGTTCCCAGCTAGTAGGCTGCTTGACAGGAGGAATCCCTGCCTTCATCTTCATCGTTCATAGCCTGGCCCATGCACGACCCTGGTGGGAGGCAGGTGTGTATTTACATTTTTCATGAATGGCCCCAAATAATGCAGACCCCTTGTGTAGGTCTCCAGTGAGGCACCGGGGTGGCTCACGAGCCCTTTATCTTTATTTTCCTCTTTTAAAATAGCATGGGAATAAGGGATATTTTTCTATAGCTGTTAATGTTTTCTGAGTTCTTTTCTACCTTGCAGGGAAGTTGTTAAGCTTTCTGAAATGCTAAATAATGTAATGAATGACCTGTTACTATGGGAAAGAGTAAGTTCTACACTGGTGCTTTAAGAAATCAGTGCCTCGGTCATTGGGATGTTCTCTGTCACAACTTCAGAAACAAAATAGTTTTTAAAGAGTTCAGCTTATCATGCACATAGATCTTTTAAAATGTGGAACATAGGAAAAGAATTAGTATAAGCACTTGGTGAATGTGGGTACTATCTTACTGACTTAAAGTCAGGCTCTGGGTAGAGCAATGGCCACCTTCACTGCAGTCAAATGGAGTCATGAAGTAACTACATGGCAGGATCTACCTGGGCGAGTGTCTTCTCAGCCCTCCTGTAAGTCAGCATGCCTTGGGAGCATTCTTCCTTCACTGGCTCACTCAAATCCTTTCTTTATGCCATAAGCACTCTGGGCTATGCCAGAGAGAGGCAACACTAGTAAGACAGGCATTGACCTGGGCACTTGCTTTTAACTATCCTGTGTGCAAAGACTAGCTCAGCCCTCTCTTCGGGGGCTTCTCCCTGCCCCATCACAGGTAATTCAAGAGGCCCTGCTTAGGTGGAGTGAGTGCATACGGCCAGGTTTCTCCCACAGCTGATCTTTGCTAGGTCATACTGCCAGTGGGAGTGAGGGACCCAGCCCTTCACTGTCCCCTTCCGTTTTAGCCATTCCATAATCCATCTGTGGCTTCAGCTGTGGCTTCTTGCTGGAACCACTAATGACTCAGTCTGAAAAAGAAAAAAATGTTGGAACAGTCTCCCCGGCTCTCATTGAAAAGACTTTATTAGCTGACATTTCAGGGGAGACTGGGAAAAAGAAAACAACACCCTGAGAGGCAATTCAAAGTCCTACCCGATCCCAACTTCCCCAGTTCTGTAAAACTAAGATATAAGCACCATTAACTCTCAGTGCATCCTAGAGTCATCAAGTCTGGATGGTGCTACTCTCTTTCCTCATTCTCCATCAAAACTTCCAAGAAAAGAGCCAGGTCATGCATCAGAAACAAATGTCACCCGGGTGCAGAGGACCTAGGGCGGTTCCATGCCGACTCCCTAGCTGTCCATCCAGTCTGTTAGCTCCCACGAGCTCATGTCCTGAGTTTCCGTGTCAGGATCTTGAATTCCCACCCCTTGCTCATGTATAATCCCACCACTATCTCTTCAGATGGATTTCCAGAGCTTGTCCCAGTGCTTGGCTGTGGATCTCTGCGTCTGCTTCCATCAAGGCCTGGGTGAAGGCTCCGTGATGACAATTAAGGTAGTCACCAATCCGGTTACAGGAGAAGGCCAGTTTAGGCCCCCTCTCAGCTATTGCTAGGAGTCTTAGTTGGGGTCATCTTTGTGGATTCCTGGAAGTTTTCCTGATACCAGCTTTCTCCCTAACCCAATAATGACCCCCTCTCTCAAGACATCGATAAAAAAAAAATTATGGGAAAAGAAAAAAAGGCAATTTAGTAACCCATACCTGCAATTCAAGCACGTAGGAGACTAGGTAAGGTAAGAGGGCTACCATGAGTGTGAGGGCACCCTGTTCTCTGGAGCAAGTTCTTGGTTAGCCTAGGCTAGACTGAGACTCTGCTTTGAAAAACAGACAGCAAATCCAACACCAATCAGAACTGCCAAGGTACACAACCAAGCGGCTGCTGCTGCTGCTGCTGCTGCTGCTGCTGTTTCTGCTGCTGCTGCTACAAGCACACTGGCCACTCAGAGGCCAAAAGGAGACTCCAGGATTTGTCCAGGAGCAGGAAAGGGGAAGTTCACTTGTTAGCATTTCTTTTCCGGCTGATACTGGTCATAGAAACCTGTGCTATAGACTCACTTGTCGCCTCTCAGTATTCTGGAAGCTACCTGTGTGTACTCTGCTTCAGAAATATTTTTCTTCTTTCTGTTTAAGCATTACTTTTTTGCACTGTATTTTAAAAGCACAGGGTTGGAATTTCTTAGCTTGACGTACAGAGAACCTCACTGGCCCAGGCTCTTGTTTACCTTCCCATTCACCACCAAGTGTTCTCTATTATTATGATTAATTAGAGAGTGGAAAGATGATAATGGCAGAGAAACGGCAACAAGATCTCCACCCACCAACAGGCAGAGCATGGGTGGATCCATTATCTTGAGAAATTGAGTTAAGTCAGCTAGTTTACCTTACACAGAAGGATTAATTTGGATCTTTGCTTGTGAGGTGTTCCATACTTTGGCCTTATTTCTCTTTCTTTTCTTCTGTGTTATTTCACATGGTGGTCAAATGCACATCTCATATTTCCCCTCATCCTACAGCATTACTGAGGGTTGCTATGGCAGATTGCCATAAATTTAACCAGCACTCATTATTATTATTATTATTATTATTATTATTATTATTATTATTATTTTATCAGACCTCTTTTAGGTCAAAAGTACCAGGAGTGTTGGGCTCAGGTGGGGCATCCCTCACAAGCTAAAACCAAAGTGGCTGAGATAAGAGCCCACAATCAACAGGGGCTGAATAACTGTGTTATGGGACTGCTTGCTGTCACCTGGGGTCAGTCTCTGCTCCTGTGGGCTGTCCTATATTCCCTCATAATGAACCTGTTCCTCCAGCCCCCCCCCCCCCCCCCCGCCAAAGGCCAGTTGAGTCCTCCCTAGGCTGAGTGTTGGTCTTCAGACTTGTCTTTCTGCTTCTAGCTAGAAAAGTTCTTTACTGTGCTTAGGAAAGAATATGTAACGATAGTGTGTCCATCCAGTAATTTAAGACTAACTATCTGGAGGGCTGTGCCCTTAACTTCAACTACAAAGTCCCCTTGTATCCTGCTCATAAGCTCTGGCAAATGGGAAATGATCGAGCTAGGGCACAGTTAAGTTACCTTGAGAGGTATTCTCAAACAGGGGTGTGATCAGCTCAGTGGCAAGAGCCTAAGTGGCCTCTGCTATTGCAGCCCTTCATGATCCTGGGCCACTCTGCATTTGGTTACTGTGACTCTGAGCTCTTTAACCTACTCAGCCCTTGCCATGGCCCTCCACCTCTTCCTGGGTAGGAGTCAGGAGTACTCGCTGCCCAACTTACTGTCTTCTCATTTAGCTTAACATCTTCACTGAGAGTAAGGGATGCCTTCTATAAGCTGGGAAGACACAAGTTCCCATAAATAATGTAAAGACACAATAAATCATTCTATAGAACCACCAGTGGGCCGCAGCGAAATCCACCAGTACTAAAAGAAAAGGTAGGCTAGTTAGGGACAAAGAAAGGAGAAAAGGACACAGCTCCCTAGGGAAAATGAAGGTCAGAGACTGGAGGATGTAGCATGCTCAGGGAAGCAGGCCATGACAGCTCCAGTCTGATCTCCGAAGGAACTCCACCAGGAACTCCCAGCCACGGGTTCCCCATGGTAACCTCAAAGCAAAAACAAAACAACACATGGACCCCCTGGCACTGTCACGGAATGTCTAAAGTTGAATTTAGCAAAGAATAAAACTTTATTATTTTAAAGTTAGATATCGCTGTGGAAAGAGATTTGCTACTTAAGAATTGTGATCCTTGCAGGAGAAGCCTTCTGCCAGGGCCACAATTAGGCAGAGACCCACACCTGTATCGACCCCAGCAGTCTCCAGGACTGTCTCTGTGCTCCTCCTCAGTAATCTGGAGATTTCAGTAATCAGAGAAGGGGCTGGCAGGCTGGCACGTGCTGAGGGAAAGAGAGAGCAAACTTAACAGATGTTGTACCTGGGTCCAATGCCGGCACTCAAAAGAGAGCAAGCTAACGTCCTAAGAACACCCCTATGTCTACTCGAAGCCACAGCTAGTACCAAATGTCCCGAGGACCCTTGCCATTCCTAAGACGTTGTCAAGTTATGCTCAGTGAGAGGGTATTGGCAGAGCACCCTAAGAAAATGGAGTAATCCCAACAGTGCACTCCATTGAAAGCTACGTGCGTGAGGCCCTCTAGCTGAGCATTTCCTGTGCTGTGCTCACCTCCGTCCGTGGCCGTGTTGTGTGATGAGTCAATGACTGGGAAGAGAGGTTGAGTGATAACAGTTGTTCTGGCATTGCCGAATCTAGACTTGATGGCACAGGCTGACATGAAACGGAGGGAGGGTGCCACCATTCCCACTCAGTGCGCAGCTATCAACAGTTACTTGCACAGAGGTCAAGCCTGGAAGGGGTTTTGCGCATGCCAGTTTTCTTCTCTTCGGTAAGGATTCTCGCCTATAATATCAGTTGGGTAAAGCTGCCTTTCTCATCTTTAATACCCACCCCACCCCCCCGTAAGGACTTTCAAATAGAGGAAATAAATGCAGTCTTTAAGCTGCAGTTAAACTTCCAAAATGGTATTATTTTCCTATAAACTGGTATTTTCTTATAAAACGAGCAAGGATGTTGACAGATGCGCACAGCACATTCTCTTAAGCTATGTTGCGCGATTCTGTAACATCACTCTACCCTAGGCTTGCATATAAAGAGTAAATTAATGGGCATGCCGGCTTCTGAGAGTGTACTCTTTTTTTTTTTCCCCGATTAGGTGGATGCTCATGGGAATATCCTATTAACGTCGCTGGAGGTTCACAATGAAATGAATGATGTGGCAGGCAGCGTTGGTGACACCAGGAATTCAGCAATATCCTTTGACAACTCAGGAATCCAGTATAGGAAACAGAGCATGCCCAGGGAAGGGCATGGGCGGTACATGGGAGATAGAAGCATCCCGCACAAGAAGACCCACCTACGGAGGAGGTCTTCACAGCTCAAAATCAAAATCCCTGATCTAACCGATGTGAATGCCATAGACAGATGGTCCCGGATCGTGTTTCCATTCACATTTTCTCTTTTCAATTTAGTTTACTGGCTGTACTATGTTAACTGAGTGGCTGTACTTGACTTTTCAAAGACTACTTCATTTAACACTGAGTGAAATATTACCCTGCCTGTCAAGTTTTTATACCAGTACACACACACACACACACACACACACACACACACACACAATTGTATATATATGTGAACTTTCTCAACATATATATAAAAGACATGGGTATATGAGGATGTATGCGTATATGTTTATATACGCAGGTGTGAGCATCTGTGTATGTAAAACAAATACGCATACATACCATACATTTTGCAACTATGGACAATTTAACACAGGATGCATATTAAAGAAAGTCATAGCTTTCTTTCTTTCTTTCTTTTTTTTAATTGAAAGGGACAAGTATCTAAATATTATGCCTCAAGAATGAGGGCGTGAAACACAGTCATCCCAAAGTGTGTCATTTATTATCATAAGTTAGATATTTTCTCTTAAAAACCGGAACGGAATTCTTAGTTAATCTTTGGGAACTCCCGCAGTGGTAGTTGTACACCTCATCTCCTCTCTTTCGGTTTGCAGCCAAGGCTTGTTGGCTTCTATGTGATGGGCTGGTTTCATCAGACACGCTTCTCTGTAGTGAGTTAGCACATGAGGTGACTCTCTGGCAGCACCCTTACCTGATTCTTCCTGGTAGGTAGCTCCCATGCTCATGTCTAACTGTTCATCTCTTGACAACTCACTGGGAGTAAACCGTGTCCCATTGTAAGTACTCCACCGCCCCCCATACAGGTGGGGGTTTCTGTTAACATTAAGTGGGTCCAGTTTAACTGTCTTGTGGGAACACAGTGGCACATTCTAATAATGAGATTCAATTACGGAAAATGTGCTCTACATCGTGTCCAGATTTCTAGGTCCGCCATTTAACTGGAAGCATAGACGTCTCAGGTTCTTTGTTACTCTAAGGTAAAAACCATCTAGAGTGATTTTTTTCCCCCTCGCAGTTATGTTACCATTCTTATAACATTGTATGTTAATATAAATATATTTGCATAATATGCATACATATGTATATTACCAAGATTTTTGTTTCTTCTGCTTGCTATCATGGCAGCATGCGACGTCATATTTTTCATTCTGTGATGTAACTACTTTCTGTTATCTAGAAATTAAGATTGAATCTACAATGTTTCTACTGTTCACTTTTGGAAACTTAGGAAACACCCTCACAGCCTTTATTTCTGTACTGACATATCTCATAAGCACACCCAACTCCTCCTAGACTGACCAGGATCCTGCAGGAACACAACCAGTTACACACCGCGATCATGCAACAACCCGTGACCGTTCCTGAGGCAAGGAGGGCAACCCGACACAAACACAGTCTCTTTTGGTTCCTTCTGATCCACACAGCCTCATCAGTATTTGGACTTTTTAAAGCTCGTAGAAATAAGACAAGGTGCACCGGTTTCATAGACGCAACCTTAAACTTAACTATTTAGATGAGCTCTTTCTAAAGACAAAACAAAGATGATATATTTTTTGTAAACTATTTCTATCACAGGCATCCATAAACCGACTGCAGTTGTGTGGACAGGTGTCACAGCGAAGCATTTGGAAGACAGGTCAAAAAGCAGAACATGCAGTAAGGGACTGCTAAATTAATAAACCCCGAGCCCCACACATGTGTGTCACCCTCCAGTCTGGCACCATTGTTTACCACGCAGGCAACACCACCACCCTCCCAGAATGGGTGTGTGTGGTGTGCACTGCCATCATGGACTTGACACTCCTTGATTTTATTTTTTTTTTTTTTTTTTCTGCTTTGGTGGCCATAGCAATCTTTACTACGTGAAAATCTGACTGTTCAAACCCCCAATATTAGACACGAACTTAATCCAAAAAATCTCGCGTTAGGGACAGTTAGTTACTGACTTTTATTCCCTATGCCTCCTCCATTCTTCTCTACCGAGTGGTCTTCCGACGACTGCTCTTTGGCTTCATTTTCTATCTGGAGATGAACTTGTGAATTTTGGCCTTTGGCTTTCCTCTGGACAGTTTGTTTTTCATGGGTAACAGTGGGAGGAGACAAAAAGTTAAACAGTTCCAAAACACAAATTCCTGTTAAGTGGCCTTATCATTGTAACATGCTAAAGAAAAACCAACGTTTGCAAAGACCTATCCCTTTCAATACTTCAGGTATCCCTCTGTGTGTGCTGTCATTCAAAGTGTGCGTGCCACGTGTAGAAGAGGGACCGTCCCCAACTGCAAGCCATGTGGCAGAAGGAGTCAGGGACTGATAACTTATCATACTAAGAACTGTGACTTTTTTTTCTGGGAGAAAAATGACTCCAAACTTTTTTGAAGCATAGTTGAGATACCCACATATCAGAGGCAGAGACTCCACGGGGCTCGAAAGAGGAGCAGTGCGATCCCCTGGGAGTCTCCGGATATAAATTTGCATGGTATAGTCATAATAGCTTTTGAGCTTTTTATATGCATTTGGCACCAAGACTGGGACCCACAACTTTATACGCACTGCGATGAAGTTACCATAGTAGCTAGACTCTAAGTAGTATTTGTAATTACATGCAGACACACACACACACACACACACACACATATGCAAATACATACATGCATTCTATAAAAAAAATCAGTTTGAAAATCCTTGGGAACATCTTTGCTTTACTCCATTTCAGAAGAAAAGTCCTTTTCTCCTAAGAAATTATTTTATGGCTTTTCTGTTTTTTAAAGCTGTGAGTGTGTTGAGATGAGAACTCTAGCTGTTCTAGCAGAAGAGTGGGATCTGATCTCTGTTCTAGGAAAGTAACCTCTCATCACCTTATAGTAGCCGTTTGAGCCAGTGAGTGAGTGCATGGAGTGGTTCCAGCAGGACCTCTGGTAGGAGGTGGCTGTTACCCATGCCCAGAACTCTTAAGAATAGAAACGTTAATTTCTCATCAACTCAATAAACCATCAATTCTCAGTAGTACTGTCTATCTAAACTGAAATGCTTCGCAGTGGGCTCACGGTGTTGACGCCTTGGTGACAGCCCTTCATTAGTCATTTTCAGATATGTCTGTGACAACTCAAGAGCCCTCCTCCATCAATCCCAACAGAGAGAGACCGAGCAGAGTGGAATCATCTTTAAAACAAAAGTCACTCCTGCTTACCGACCCTAGGACTGTCGAGGGGTTGTGATGTCAATGTCATAACCCACTCTCTGCCCCTGAATCTCAGATGAACTAGAAAGTATGTCATAATACCCCCATTAGGCTTTAAGTGACATGTCCATCAGCAGTATTGTGTGTTTTGATGACAATGTGGGGACATCTTCAGTTGTTCTCACCAAAAACATTCTCTTCCTTTGAAACACGGAGTTGACACTATCACCAATGAGATGATCTGAGAGAAGACAGGCACATTGAAGCTGTAGGTGTTTGCCCCGGGTGAACACATTCTGAAAAGATGTGTCCGATTTTGAAATTCCTTACTTAAAAGCATAAACCTACTATAATCCACATTTTAACCCTCCACCTAAAATGAGTTCGTACTTCTGGCCATTTTCTCTAAGCCAACTGATCCTCTGGTAAGATATTTTGTTACTCTTGGAAAGACTGTTGGCTTTCATGTCAGAACACCATTGACTCTTGGGGCAAAGAACTACCCTGGTGGAGTGAATTTCCCAGGACACTGGTGAGTGTGCCTTGGACTGATTACCTCTTCTACTGCATTGAAAGGTGCCATGTTTTCTTGAATGACTACCCTCCCTCTCCTTGTAACAGTGACCTCCCAGAATGGCTCATGCACCATACCTCTCCTAGGGATGGCCCACAAACATGTCATTCATGACTCATTTTTCTACTTCCCAAGTCAGTAGATGTGTTCAAGGTAAGTACAGGATTGTTCTAGTAGGAATAGGCGGTTGCTGTCCTGATTGATATCCACGTCGATTTCATTTCATTGTAAAGATAAACTTAAACCCGGTTTTGCTTAAGCACATTGATGTAATTTTTTTGGTATTATTTGACGTGAAAAAAAAAAACAGCAAAATTGAGTGACAGATACAATACGAAACTTGTTGAATGAATTCCAATTTATTAAAAAAGGACTAACTGACAAATGTGAGGACTGATTGTGTTTTCCTCTTCCTTAACTCTCTGTTGTTGAATGGTGTGGTTATTTTAATCCAAACTTGTTCAATTGCACATGTCCACTTGGGTTATGTGAAAATAAAAGGAATTTAAAGCCCCAAACTGACTGCCTAAGAGAACAGTTGAACTGTTTCTTTAAAAAAAAAAAATCATAATTTAGCTTAAAATTTGTACACAAAGAGTAACCAGTCTTCAAATTAGTGTTTTAAGAAGCACACATTTTCATGTCAAAAACTGGGGAACAAGGTGCCCACCTGTGAATAGCCACCCTTTGAATTTTTCAGCACCTTAAGGCATTTTCCCTTGCTTTTCTAACATGAAAGTGTGATAGTATCATAGAATGAACAAACGAGTGAGTGAATGAATGAATGAATGAATTCAGATTATGGACACTGCCATGCAGACAGAGGTTAGTGAGAGTCCTGTCTCCTTCCTGGGGCCCCTGAGGTGTTCATGATGCTCTTAGCTAGAGACAGAGCATGGTATGCATCCATGCATAGCAACTTGGAATGTCGTCAGGAATGATACAAGACCTTTATCATCCCTTGTCCAGATATGTAAACAAGTGTTTTATTTCAGGTCTTCTCCAGAGTCATGACTTGGACATGCCTTAAACTATGTTGTTATCTGTGGTGAGAACATCTCTGTGGGAACATTTCTTACCTATGTCATTGAGGCAGTCCTGGCGACGAGTTTGAAAGACCAATCACTGTTTCTCAGAAGTACCTGTTTTGGTTACCAGAGGGTGCAAAGGTGCCTGGGGAGCCTTGAACCAGACTGTTCACTCACCGACCCACTGCTGACAGCCTCCATTCACGTGTGGCTGCTTCATAATTCTTGCTTGGAATTCCTTACTTTGTAAAGCACGGGGCTCCTCACTGCTCCTTGTAGTGGGGATACACGTCCCAGGGGACTGGCTCTTTAAATCCTCCATGGTTTTAAGGTTTTAAAAGCTTGTACCAGGAGGACAAAAAACAGCAACCGTTATTGACTGGGATGTTTCTGGTGTTGGAGAGACTCACTCCATGCCTCTTGGTTTTAGATGAGCAGGTTCAACTCAGAAGCAGCAAGCAGCAACATAAGGAATACACATGCTGAAAACGCAGTCTCCCGTGTTTTTAAGAAACAAAATCATGATAAAGAACGAAATACGCAGCACACTGACATGGGAGAGCAGAGTGTGCCTAGTGGCCCTGTGCTTCTTGAAAGAGAT